GCGCAATACAGCCCAGAAAGAATGTCCTGTTAGATATTAGGATCATAAATCACAGTGAAGTTGAGAACAAAGAACACCAAACATGAGATCAGCTGCACCTTTTATTTATTTATTTATTTATTTATTTATTTATTTATTTATTTATTTATTTATTTATTTATTTATTTATTTATTTATTTATTTATTTATTTATTTATTTATTTATTTATTTAGTTTAAAGCAGTGGATTGTATGTTTTTCTCTCTAATGAACAGCAGATTTGAAAGATTCATAAAAAGGTTTATTTGCTTATTTAAGCTGTGATTTTCAGTAGCTTATTGAATATATAATAATATTAATTTAGTGACTTACCAGTATAAAATATTAGATTTCTCAAAATTCTGTCTCACTCCTCTTTCCATGCTTCACCTCTACTTTATTTGGTGAAATAAATAAGATATTTCACACATGCCAAACAAGCTGTTTATTGCTGTATTGGTGTATGTTTACACATAAGCGTGATGAAATCAGCCGGATGTCCATAGTACAGTTTTACTTCTGTTTATCACAGATGCGTGCTGCTTTAACTGTGTGAATATCCTGACTGTCAGCTCAGAAGTTCATTGGCAGCGGATGAGTTTCATCTCCTTCATTCTTCCTTAAGATTTTGACACTGAAGATGTATCAGGGTTATTGTGTGAAAAGAGTTTCTGTGTCTGCAGCATTTCTGAGATGTTGCTTAAGTCAACTCTCTGGAAAAACTGTCGAAACAGATGGAGCAACAATTTTGAATCTGCAGTTTTGTTATTAAGAAATGTCAAAAGAATTTTAGTGAAATCTGCGCTTGTTTGTGTTGAAATTGTATTGCTTCATTTCTCCTCCCTGTGGAATAATAAAAAAACTATCCTTTTTAAAACGGGGTTATTATGCAAAATTGACTTTTTGARCTTGATATCATGTTATAAAGTCATTCCCTCRTCAAAAACATACCCAGATTGYTGCTTTGACTCATTCATGTTTGAGAAATCCTTGAATCTCCTGGTAGCCATGTGGAGCTGTCTAAACACTTGCTGGTACAAAGCWCCGCCTATTTGTACAAAGCTCCTCCCTAGAGCTCAGTCTGCAGCCGAGCTCCCACCCTGCACAGCATTGTTGTGAAGACGTGGAAAAGTGGGAGTGTCAGAAACGGTAGGAGGTTCTTAAAGAGACAGAGGCCAATTTCAACTATGTGCCTGGAAAATACACAAAATGCCCCCTTTAAGGGATACAAAGATACAAAAGAAAAAGTTTTGGCTAAATCGTTTTCTCAACACAGCATGTTGATTTCATTAGCATTTTTTTAGTTTGATAAATTTGTGAACTGCCTGATTATCCTGATTTGTTGCTAAAAAAAYAATAAAAAATAAAATCCATGCATGTCTTGATTTAAAACAACTCTTCTATAAATTGGTTCCTATGTTAGGAGATGTATGATGGASCGGAGATGTTGGTAAGCTTATCTAATCAGTGGATGGAGGTGGAGCTTAACTCTGAATAGAGCCTGACTGGATTGATCCATTGTGCTCATGTTTACAAGAGGGCCCTTCACAAGCGGCACAGTTTAATAGCACACTGTCCCAGAAGGCTTGTTGCATCCGTGTGCATTTTGTTTCTCGAGCCAGAGAAAAAAAACAAAAGTGCCAGGAAAAGAAAAGGAGGAAGAAACCTCAGGGGAGCTATGAAACACCACTGGAGCCCCTCCATCTCAGGACTTCCTGCCAAGATAATGTTTCACCTCATTCATTGATATTTTTATAGGAAACCACAACACCGTGCAGAGTAATACAAGCATTAAAGGACCAAAACCTGCTTTGGTTTTTACTCATTAAACAACAGATTCTGTAAATTTTATGTAGTGGATCTGAATTTTTTAGGGCTGAATTTAAAATTTCCCCGTCACAATCCACCTTTGAACATAAATTTGAATTTAAAGCAAAGCCGCCGAAGAGAGCTGTGCCACTGTCCTCTTCACGCACTCCTGCACTAAGATGCAGCTCACACAGGTCCCTCAATAAATCCCAGGCTGACACAAAAGCTGTCAGTGGACTGCTGCTGAATAGATTAATAAGGTTTCCATAATTAGACAGGCCYCTGACAATAGGATCCCTTCGGCTTTGTCTCAGGGCCAACTGGAGTGTCCGATCCATGCATGTCTGCTGGATGGGTGTCCACTACAATGGCCGCACAGACAGTAAGGCGGTCAGCAGAACATCTGTCTCTCCTGGGGCCAAAACCTCACACAATAATTGGGAAGTTTAATGTGCATACGCAGAAGGTTCTTATCTACCTCCTCACAGCTAAGTAAGACCATAGACATATTTCTGAATGCAACACATTTCTTTTAAACAAAAGCTTACAAGGATTTTGTTTTCAAATCATGATGCTCTAGTCCATAATTAATTTAGCCTTTAAATCTTTAATCCTTCGCTAAGATATTAAAATACAGATTTGAAAAGATTGTGTCAGAAAAAAGAAAAACTTGCACTATTACAACTGAGATGTTGCAAGGTTTTTTTCCAACAATCTGTTTCGCAATTGAATCACAAAGTTAACAAAGGATTGTTTTATTTTATTTCTGATCCAGAATTACACATAATCTTGGGCTGTAATWAAGCATATACTGAGGCTGAGCTAATTGTTTCACTTCTAATCAACAGCATGTCCACATTGTCCTGATTCCCTACTTCTAATCTTAGCTTTCTTACCATTCCTCCAATGGATTAATCTACATGATGGCTCTGATTTAGGCAGACGTGTAGATTAGAGCTTGCTCAGTTGATMGTGGAGTGTTACTGCTCTAAAAGCCACAATCCAGCAGAATATCTAATTACACAGAAAGGGCTAAACTCTGCTGCAGTGCACTCATTCAAAACTTAATAATAAAAAAGCCTTATAGAAAATAAAAAGGTGCAAGTTTTGATGGTGAATTTGTTAAGTGTACACAGCTGGTTGTTGCACTGGTCTTGGGAGTAGTGTATYGTTCTGTATACTCTGATGATGGAGTGGACAGCAGTAAACCTGCCTCACTGAGTTCTATAATGTCGGCTACAGTCCGCTTAGAAAGGACGGAGCGCCTGCTGTCCACTCTTTCCCCTCCCTTCTTCCATCTCTGCCTTCTTCCATCCCTCCCTCCCTGCTGCAGGTTTTATGAGCTCCCCTGGGCTCTCATCCATCTCTGTCACACACAGGCCCCATTATTGGGGCTGCTTGCAAACTGGTTCGGCTGCAGATGGGAAGGGCCTGCAGAACATATATGGTTTCTGCAGCCCGAACAAAGACCACAAAACAAAAATTAAAAAAAAACAAAACATGGTCATCAGGGTGTGGACGAGTCAACGTAAGGGTATGTAAAATAAACGAGTGAAGATAGTGTGAGAAAATCAGAACTTGCTGCAGCGTGGGCTGCCTGAAGCTGTGTGAACTACTTGAACTGGTTTGGCCACTGGGAACTTAAGGCAGTCCATTTGAATATGAAGAACATGATAATCCAACGGCCATCTGGTCTGCTGGTCTCATCTGACTGAATAAACAACAGGCGTAATCTGAAAACACACACGGAGAGGTTTGGAAAGACAGAGGTCAAAGTTGAGGAGTGAGCTAGAGAGCGGGTTGGAAGAAGCCGAATCTTAGAGTATTGGATACTGAGGTTTGATTTAAATGGCAATAAGAATCCTGGCTCCTCACCTACAGACACCCATGAATAATGAATCATCGTGAGTCTGCTGAAGAAAAGCCAGAGAGTGCAGAAGTGACGGCTTTTGCTATATTCCATTTTTTTTCCTTTTTTTTTACCTTCCTGGTCCTGGCTGGAGTAGCTCACCTCGGGGTAAATTGTGACAGTTCAATAATGCCAAGCTATGTGTGGAATGTCAAGCTAATGCTTCTGTGAGAGGCAGTGCTGCCTTTCCCGAAACTGATGACTCTACAAATACAATATAGTGATATAGAAATATTGACACATGAAATATGCATTTAAACAATTGTGTGTCCTTAACTGGCAAATAAAGCCAACACACATAAAAAACTTTTAGATTTTTTTATGTTATACTTTTAGGCTTTTCTTTCTAGATCACCTCATTTAGTGTTGAGGTCAACAAAAATTCCACTTTTCCAGTGTTCCATCAGAGACAATGCAGAATAGTTTTTCCAGTACACTCTCCTCTTTCTGTCCGAATCTCTGCACACACCCTCCTTAACTCACCCCCCCCCCCTCATGTGTCCAGCAAGCCACTGGGTGGGTGGACTGGTGGGTGGTAGGCGGGGTTGCAGGGCAGAGGGAGCAGGCATTCAGTGCAACATGCGCATTGGGGATAACAATAGCTCCTCTGGGAGAGCTGCAGATGTTACTATTAGAGGGAAAATTAGTGGGACCTTATCTACACACTAACATGAAAAACGACAAAAAAACAATTCATGCATCCCGCTGATGTGCTTTTTTTCCTGCAGCTTCTCCGTACTTCTCCAACTCCCCCGTAGCTTCCTCTACCTCTTTGGGAAATTTGATCCTCTTTTGTTGTCATACGTCACAGAAAAATGATTTCCTAACAGCAGAAAGGCCAGGTTTTGTCACTGGATCCTGTGGGAGAAGGATCTTTGACCAGAAGTGTCAATTTGCACATGACTGTGAAGAAAATAGTCATGACGTTTAGGCAGCTCCAAATGGCTACCACTGGAGATTCAAGGATTTCTTAAACATGCATGAATGACTCAAAGCAACAGTCCGTGTATGTTTTTAATGAGGGAATGACATTAAAACATGAAATTGAGCTCAAAAGTTGAGTTTGTATTACCCCCCCCCCCCCCCCCCCTTACGTTTTCCTTTGGACCTTCGGTCCTCACAGCTTCAAACCTGTTAAATCTCTATGCTGAAAAAGTACACTGGCATGCAGGAGTCCCCATATGACCAGCTTCCTTTAATTTTACTCTTCAGTGTATGTATTCACAGTAAACACAATTTCATTTTCTTGTGTTTCTGTTCTCAGGCCTGTTAAAGATGCACTGGAACCCAGAGCATGCCCAGTCCCTCAGCCAGTGGCCTGAGCAGCACTTGGACGTCTCCTCCACCACTTCCTCTCCTGCCCACAAGTCAGAATTTTATTCTGTTCGCGGCCGCAGCTCCAGTTATAACTACGCCTGGGCCAACGATGACATCTCCGCCCTTACAGCTTCAAACCTGTTAAAGCGCTATGCTGAGAAGTATGCTGGCGTGCTGGACTCACCGTATGACCGGCCTCCTACTGTGGCTACATACCCAGAGCCAGGGGGCTTTGGGGGCCTTAATGGCCAGAAGACAGAAGCGGAACCTTGGCCACTGATGCACAACACTGACACCTCCTATCCTTTGGTCCCTCCCGGATGCAATGAGAGCCTTTCAGCCTCCAAGACTGTAGCAACACCCACTGGCCCTCCTGGGGTTGGCAGCGTTTCAGCAGCGAACAGTAATCTCTCTGACTCCGCTTACAGCGGCAGCAGCTCTTGCATTGGCCCCAGTGAGTATCCTTCAAGCTACAATGGCACCTATCTTTCCTCAGGGTTCTGTCCACAGCCCAGCGCAGCACTTCCCCCTGCCTCCCTCCACACTCTCCAGTCCACACCCACATTGGTACCCAGTTTCAGCCCTAACACACCCGTTTATAACTACCCACCCAGTGCATATCCTCCCCAGACCAGTCTGGCTCCAAGCTACAGTCACCCCTCCACAACATACCTCCCCTCAGGTCTGCCAGCCCCTACCCCTGTTCCCTCAAGGCCAACATTGGTAGGAGGCACTTACAGCTACCAGAGCTCCAACCTTGGGGCATCTGAGTCTGGAGGGACATTAAAAAGAAAGGCATTTGAGATGAGCATAGAGGAGGATGACAGTGGGGACAGGTCTCGTTACAGAAAATATAAGTTTGACCCTTTAAAGGGTGGCGGAACTTCTCCCTACAGTGTGAACGACAAAACAGAGTGTCGTGGAAATGGCTTCAGCAGTTCAGGCAGTGCAGACCCCCAAACCTTCAAACCCAGCAAGCCGTCTTCTCAGCCCCTGGTGTCCCCCGAGTTTGGGGCAGGAGGGGAGTACAGCCCTCCAGCAGGCATGACGGGGGATGGCGGGGTGACGGAGCAGGGCTTCACCCAGCAGCAACACCGCTCTCAGGCACTCAAACGGCCTCCATTATGTACTCCAACTGTTGAGACTATGAAGAGCCCAGACCCCCGACTGCTGGAGGTCATCGATGGAGAGTTATTAGACTGCAGCCCCACACTGCTCTGGAGTGAACTATTTGGGCTTACCCATGTTAAGGCTGCACTGGAGGAGGACATAATTTGGCCCGTTTTGAGGCCCAGTCCAATGGTGCAGCCACCAAGAACCGTCCTGCTGTTTGGCCCAAGGGGAGGGGGTAAGATGACACTGGTTCGGTCACTGGCCTCACAGTTGGGGGCTTCGTTTTACCATGTTAGTGGAGCAATGCTGGCCACCAAAGGGAAGCTGGATGCAGAACATATTCTGGGTTCTCTGCTGCAGGTGACAGAGGCACGGCAACCCTCAGTGGTGCTGCTTAGTCAGGTGGAGGCCATGGAGGAGGACGGGCTGAGGCAGATCCTGCTAACTACCCTGGAGAAAGCCCAGGTTGGGACCACAGGTCTGGTCACTCTTATATGTGCTACTGGAAGGCCGGATCTACTGCAAGACGCGGTACATCGGAGCTTCACCAAGCGATATTATGTTGGTCTACCAGATGTGGGAATCCGCCAGCAGGTGCTGCTGCAGGCCCTGACGCCCCAAGTCTGCAGCCTGAACGAGAGGGAGCTGAATGTTGTGCTGCAGCGCACAGAGGGCTTCTCAGTCTGGGAGCTGCTGCAGCTCAGTCAGCATGCACTTTCCTCAGCATCCTCCCAAACTGGAGTCATGCATGGTCTCCCCACATCCCCCAAAGCACCAAACTTCACTGATTTTGAGAATGCCTTCTGTAAGGTGCGGCCACACACCACCACAAAAGAACTAGACACTTGTTTGGAGTGGAGCAAGATGTACAGCCACTGAGACAGAAGCTGGTCATTGTGTTCAGACTTCTGGGTTTTAGTTCTGGCATAGAGAGCAATGGGAATGTTTTGTTGTGGTTTTTGAATTACAGATTATGCAGCCAAAAGAGCCAAATGAGCTCATCAACTGGAGACTGCTGACAGAGTTGTTCCACTGGCAGGAGCATGCCATAATGTACTGTTTTGTTTCGCCCACATAATTTTATTATTCCTAAAGAAAAGAAAGGTGGGTAGGGTAGTGTTATTAGTCATTTGGCCAATGGAAAAAAATCAGAAACATATTTGGGAACTCTCCAAGATCCTGATTAGTCTTGGTCCGGCACAAAATCAATTATTTGTTGCTTGGTGATGTGGTCCAAGGTTATGGATAATCAGGGTTTGGAAATATCCCCTTTTTGGCTGCTGCTCTCAGGTTCCTATTGGTAATAACCAGTCCTCGTTCATGTTATCCTAACCACATCAGTGTAATCAGTGATCATAGTCATTCGGCACAAAGGGCTTGGGATCAGCAACACTTCAGCAATTTTTGACCAAAAACTTGTCAAACCAAATACTTAACAAGAAGCACTGTTATTTCCCCCTTTCGAATGGACTGTTTCTAAAAAAAAAATCACAGCATGTTGATATTTTACAATATCTTCTTACCAAACTATGACCCAACAGCTGCTTGTTACTATTAGAAAACACAAGATTTAAAACCTGCACCGGTTTGTTTAAGTGAATTTGTTGTGTTGTTTGGTTGCAGAACTACTCCTGAATCTTTATTTAATGGCACTGTGCTCACACTGAATGCAGCACAATTAACTGATAATCTTCTTTATGATCCACATTCCACATCGACTGCAGTTTTCTTGAGAATCCCACTCAAAGATGAAAACCTGTGCATCCAGCTTCTCCCACATCATGCTTGTTTTCCTATCACAAGTTTTTCTTTTTTATATTATGTAATATTATTTTAAATGCTCAGGAAGAATTTCTTTACCTCAGAACTAAGAAATAAAGAATGTATGTAATCTTAGGGTCTTAGAAAAGAGTGTTGTGGCGTGAAACAAAGGAGAATCTGACAGTCTGCAGCTGGGCTCGTACCTCGGGAGAGAAACTTGAATATTCTACAAAGAGTAACATTGAATGTAATTCAGGTATTTTTAAAAGGATATTTGATGCCATAAATCCATGCTTTATTATATATGAATATATAAATGTGTTTTTGTTTGTTTTCAGTTCTTTTATCCTTTATTTTTCTTGTAGTTTATGGTGAAGTGATGATTGTCATCAAGAAATGCGATGTAGAATACAAAAAAATAATTCTTTTTTTTTGTTGGACAAACTGTTTGCAAACCCTGTGTTATCTAGTGGTTTACACATCCACGCTTGGTGCAAAATATAATTTGTAAATGGAAAAAAAAAAACAATCGAACACCTGAGCACAAATTAGGACTCTTAAAGACAAAACTGGCCACAACACACAGCATAAAGAAGTTTTTAAATGTGGCTTTTGATATTTCTTTAAGTTTAAATATTCACAGCCACGTAAACATATAAAGGATTGATCCAGGAATCTTTCTTTTGCAGCTCATACTTCCTCAGTTTGTTCGATCAAACTGGGAAAATTAAGCAGGTTAAATGGTTGTATGTGTGAATTTTGTCATGGATCTAGAGAGGTATACACAAAAATGATGTAATATCATCTTCGCCCTCTTTCCCTTCCTCCTGTTTCACCCTTCCTCCCATCCTCATCATTCTTCTTCTCTTTTTCTCTCTCTCTCCCCTCCCAAATGCAATCTCATTAGGCGGGATTGCCCCATGGCCACAGTGACCATGTGGCGTTTTATTCCCACCCCCCCCTCACCTTTTCTTCCCCCTTCCCTTATACCGATTTCTCCAAAGTGGAAGTGGGGCTGATTGATGTCCAGCAATCCTATATCAGAGTGCAGCCTTCCTTCGGCAGCTGGTAGCTTCAGTCATACCATACAGCCGGATCAATCAGCGTGACCCCCGCTGTGCATACTGATCACAGTCTCTGAAACCAAAACACTTTCACAAATCACACCTCTGCCCCAAGCAGCAAACAACAATAAATATCCACTTTTAATAACTGGAATTAAACAGCCATGAAGACGTACAGCTGCAATATCGTTAYTGACAGTTTGTCCAACAAAACAAGCTTTTATTTTGTACGTTTTGATCTGCAGTAGCTTTATTCTTGGTTATTGTACATTTTATGTAACCATTTCTACCTCATTTTTTGCAGCATATTGTACATGAAAGTATTTATTTCATGTCGTTTTCGATGTCTGTTTTAAAAATGATAATATTGTTCTTCAACTGTAATAGTCTACCTCAGAAAAGACTGTATTTTAAGAGAAGAGTATCACACAATATTAAACAGAATTTGTCAATATTAAATTGTGACTGTTTTTTGTGTGTGTAGTCAAATGACTATAATTGATCTATATCTATCTATCTATCTATCTATCTATCTATCTATCTATCTATCTATCTATCTATCTATCTATCTATCTATCTATC